GGTGTCGCCAAACTTAGGCTATTTTTCCCATTGGTAATAAGCTGCATGGACTTTCATTACCAAATATTCACAGACGAATGTACATTGGACAGTCTCCAGTTACTCATACTTAACGCTTCCTAAAAAAGAAAAAAGCTCTCTGGAACTATTTTTTACTGTCTTTCTTGTACAAAGTAAAGTTTCTCCAGTTATTAGTATCTTTTCTCTACCAAAAGTTTTACTTTTGAACAGTTTCTTGAATATCATGTAGACTATTTAACATTCCTAACAATTTGGAAATGGTATTCTCTTCAGGTTCAACTCAATTTCTCACCTTCTATTAACGCATAAAGTAAATTATGCTAATCTGAGTCTTATAATTTATGTCAGTAAGCTATATTAATGTTTTATGTTGTTGATACTGGACTGAAAACTGTTAATATAGATTTGACACATACTGTAGTGTCATATTGTCATACTTGTACCCAAGTTATATATGTTGATATGTATATTATACACATCGACAAGTTTGTTGATTTCATTCAAATACTTAAATTAAATTGCTTGTTTTATAGTATAAGTAATCGTGAAATAACCAGCCTCACTACGATAATTTGACTTTTCTTGGTTGTGTTGTGCTATATGAGTTAAATGGCTTAGTTGCAGAACAATAAGCATCCACTGATGAGTCTGTCCAGAAGAGTAATGACAGTTTCACAACTAAATTCCTAATCTCAGAGAACACAACACAACCAAAAGCGTCCACCTGAAATTCACATGTTCTCAACCATTTCAAAAGTTGAGTATAACTGTGATCCTCAGATATATATGTTTGAGTACCAAGAAAAATATGACTGGATATTTTCAGGAATAACATATGAAGACTTTCAAGATTTTTTATGTAATGTTTCTGATTACTTGTTAATAAAAATAGTATTTTTGAATGGCGCTTCAATCAGTTAAGTGATAAATGTTTACTACTTTACAACCAACAGATTTTATCCATTATGAACTACAACAGTATATCTCCAGTTAATAAGTGGATATTAAACAGTTGCATCCTGATCTCTGTTCCCCTAGGTTTTATTTAACTTACTAGCACAAAATAACATCATACACAAAAGAATTATGATGTATAAATAGAAAATGTTAAGCTAAACCACACTTATTTACACGGATATAGTAAAGATAATTTTGTTGAGAATTACTAAGAAAAGCAATCACTTATATCACCATGACTGCACTATTTCTATCTTAATATGGCAAGAAAATGATTACTTTAGTGATTAATTATAATATTTGGTCTGTTGAATAGTTTGACAAATCTGTTATTTCCACTGTAATCTCTTGCTGGTAAAGCAAAAGCCGAATCGTAGTTCGTTCAGTTAATTTTTGTAAGATTAAATATACAATTAAGTGTTTATCAGTTGCCTAATTATCTGTATGTTTATCATATATATATATATATATATATATATATATATATATATATATATATATATATATATATATATATATATATATATATATATATATATATAGCTTCAGATGTCACTACTTCTTTATAAGGGCCAAAACCTCTTTGAAGTATTTTGTCCCTTCAAGATTGATCATACACTTGGTTTCTGATATGTGCAGTGCTATCGCCGATTTATTCCTAAGCTTCGTGAGTTTAACTGAGTATGTGAGGACATATTTTATTGTTTGTGTTCCTTCATCCTAAGAGTCAACTGTCTAGATGTTTCTATTACATATACTCTTTGGATTCATGACACTTAATTCCATAAACACAGTTTTTTTTTGGCGTCTTATGCCTCATGCTCATTAATCCTATTCTAATAGGGTCACGAACTCGAAAATAAACTTTTATATTATGTTTATTTGTAATTCTTTTTCTATCTTCTGACGTAATCTTACTTTATGAGGTGACTACTGTATTTTTCCATTCTCTTGGTAAATATTCTAATTTATTTTCTTCATTTTTATTAATCTTATTCGAAAACTTTAGGGTAATGAGTTACCATAAGTATAGATAAGATTAAATTTAGTTTAGTCTGTTTATCTTCTGCCTCTGTAATAAGCTTATTACATGAAAGGAAGTGTACTGACTTATAATCTAGGCATCTCTTAGAATACTGGTTATTACACTATTTTATATCTTTTTTCAATAAGATAATCAAGAAATTCTGATTTTTAGTTTTCAGATACTATTTCCTTGGTCAATTTAATGCAATCTCATATATTTTTTATCGGTTCAATAATTTTTTTTCTCATCTGTCTTGTTTGGTCATTACAAGGATGTCATCCACATCTTATAACCAAGTTGTAGGCGGACATCGACACCTTATATATGCATTATTTTTCAAAGCATGGACATAATTAATGTTACTGGCGAACCCTTCTCTACTCTTGTTCTCGAAAAATAAATGACGTGAAACAGACACAGATGTATCTTCTATATGCTCAGCTCCTGATTTCTATCAAACCGCTTAAATGTTGACGAATGTTCGCATTATTAGACAAAATAACTCCAAGAAAATTTCCAGTGTAACATGTTTTTGAAAAAAAATATTTATGTTTTACGTTTATTTAAATTGTCATTTATCTATACTTTGATTCATTTCAATACTTATATCGATAAACACACGGATGGCAACCAGTTATACATGTATCCACCCATCAAAATAATAGGTAAAAGCACATGTAATAGAAGCCATAATTATGAAAATATCTCATATTTCGAAATAAATAAATACACAAATCTCTAATGAAAGTGTATACCTTACTAAACAAAGACATTTTTTTATCAGAACATGATGTAACATGATATGTAGGTAATCGTTTAGAAAAAAATACTACTATTTTAGACAATTCATGAATATGATAATTGCTTATACTATATAAGGCCTACTTCTTAGACTAAAAACCAATAATATATCTAAAGTGAAAAGTAATTCATTTATGAAACCTCTAAAGCTACACTAAACTAAACCTAACCGAAAATATTAATTTGTTGAAGAAATATTTGAAGATAAGTCTTTTCAAAAATGTAGACACATGAGTGAAATCTGTACAAGGTGTTTTTATGTTTGATGCTTGTTATTATGCAAACATAAAAGAAACTTATCACTGTGTATACCAAAACCATTCAAGTTCATTTCAGAATCAACCATACAATTGTATGGTATAACAACAAGATATTTATGCGATTATCTGTATTAGTTACTTCAGTTAAGTCATGTATGAGCTGAATTAAAAATCTTAACTAATTTCTAGAAAGTTTTTACATTATTAGACCAACTATGAAATATCCTTTAAAGACCACTTCTTATTTGAACCCATATTACAGTATTATAAATCCTCCCGGCAGTAGGCAATTAACTTGGTAAATGTCACGTTGATCATTCGTATAAATTCTGCATCCAGACTAACATTTTACTCATTTTGAGTGTTCTGTTTTTTAGGCTGGATGATTTAAATTTTAAGCCTTCACTGTCTTTATCGATGCTATCACCAGCAGACAATTCATTATGAAATGAGTTATTAAAATTTCTGCACAATGGACGAGCTGCCTATTCTGTTGACATAGAAGTTAGTTGATAGTTGTCCACAGGTGTATGGCCGTTGTTCGTATATTTATTTTGATATTTTTCACGTCTGACCTGATCGTTGACGTTGGAGTTGTTTATCCTTTTCTTTATTAGTTGATAGATCGAATCACTTTTGATGTGTTACCAGAGTATCATATTTCTGATAATTTTCTGCATTTCTTTTTATTTCCTCTTTCCAGCATTCTGACGTTTTCTTAATCAAAATCATGTTCTTAGTTACCCACGTAGATTGAGACGAGATAAGCCATGTTGTAGCTTCTAACCGCTAGTTGATATGCATGTATACGTAGACAGAGCGATTGATCTCTTTTCTAATAGTGTTTTCACGAGTTGGTGCAATTGACTCTGTAAATGATGTTTGGTTGGTCTCCATTTGTCATTATGTTCTTTGGTCTGCATAATAATTCTTATGAAGACTTTGTAGGTTTGTGCTTTACACCTCTTTCTAAAGGTTTAAATAATCTATTTGTGATCTCGGCGATTTTTTCCATATAGAGTATAATTATCTGTTTGGTGGTTTCTGTTGTTTGTTTTGTGCATGGTGATCGGCTTGATAAATGTTTCTTGATGAAGTGTTGTGTGCTAATGATGTTATCGAGAAATACAATAAAAACTTCACGATTAAATTATCCAGCTCAGACGACAAAACACATTACAAATCCTCATCTTGAACTATAAATTTTCTGCACCATTCATGTTCATTCACAAGAATGGGAATAACTAAAAAGACTAAGTTATCTCGAAATTAACTGTAAATCAACATTCACGTAAAAAATGTGCGATGGAATGAATGATTATATTTTAAGTCAACAATTGTTTTTACGGTAACACGATACTCTTTTGCATACATATTGCTATTTATCCATCTTGATAAATATCCAAGCTCTCATGGGCGACATTTTCAATCCCGAAATAAGGATGACATTTTTGTACTTTTGTTTATTTTACATCCCTATTACCTTATTCAGCAAATTATTATTATGAATAGTAGTAGTGTTATCATTACCACTATTGTAAACAGACATATCATCAAGTATTATTACGATGAATAGGTATATATTTTTCATTGTACAATTTTGAGAATGAATTGGCCGAAAGGAGTTATTGATTGAACCAGTCTATCTTGACTTTAAAATACCGATGCTTTCTCAAACCCCTTCTCTTTCTAATTGACTTTAATGATCATGCGGAAATATTAGTCAAAATAAATCCCAAGAGTTGATTAAAACAAATAGTTTAGAGTTACTTCCTATCAATAAAGAGCTACTTATCCACATTTTTTATAGAATAATGCTCATTTAAAATTTATACAAAATATTTCTCCGCTCACTAGTTTTGATTCAGTGATAACTATAGATTTACAGTAAATGATAAAAATTTTACAAATAGCAGATTCTTTTTATATTTTAGGAAACACCATCAATTTTGATAATTCAATGAACAGTACTAGTCATCTAGTGGTTGATTCGTCTCAGTATCATCAGCATGGAATCGCACGAAACAACGTGAGAAATTTAATGCCTTCTGGATCATTAAATTTATCATCTGGAGCAGCTTCATGCACAAGTGCAGTACCGTTGTCATATGGTTTAGGAACAATGGATATGTCTTTGTTAAATTCAAATGAATCGAATTATTGCATTCGGTCGTCACAAAGACAAACCGTTAAAATCAGACCGACCAATATTGGAAGACCTGACTTTTGATTTACGTTCATTTCATTAGTAAATAGTGTACAGTGTACTTGAATAAAGTTCGACTATGACTATATTTATCCACAATAGCATATATTCATCAACTTATAAACAAGAGATTGTATCAAGGAAACTGTGTAACATTGAACAAAATTCAAATGTGAAGAGAATTATATCCTGCAACTTTTGATCAACCTATTCTAATACCTAATGACATCGTTTACGTTATATTATAAAGTCATTTCATAAATGCTGATTCCTTCACTTGTTTACCGTCAGCTAACTATTTATTAGTTTAAACACAGAAACTGTTCTCACACACACAGTATGCTCATCTTTGTATATAAATTAATTTGTGACTGATATTCCAGTAATCTTTTAACCTGAATAGTTTTCTTTTATTCTTTTCATATTTGGTGAAAATCAAGAAGCTTGTCAGTTTATATACCCCACATCCATTTACATTACCATGAGTTAATCTGTTCAGTATTTGAGTAAACTGTATCCTAAGTTGTAGAGAAAAGAAGATGAATGAAATTGTTCAAAAAAAGCACAAACAAAGCAGTTGAATAAATTTAACTTGATATTGGTTAATTATAATAAACTAAATCAACAACTACTAATTAACCATTATCAATCAATGTAGCCTAGAAAATCCCTTTTCAATTAATTATTATTATTATTATTATTATTATTTTAATTCCATTCTATTCGTAATTTATAAAACTGGTTTAATACTTCCATTTGGAAAATGTGTAAACGTATTCAGTTTTAAAGAATAATATACATACTCAGCCTGAATAATTACTATCAATGTCGTACTTTTCTTTCCCAGATGCATTTGGAACAAATAAGATAAATGTAAAAAAAGAGAACAAAAAGACACTAAAAACACCAAGAGCAAATATAAACAAAACTTTGTTGACAAGGTTAAGGAATTATAAACAAGATCATGATTTAAATTTTTTTAATTAAGTGGTGATACGTTAGGACTTGTAATATATTAGTTATCACCAAGATCAGTCTCCGTAGTATTATTTTAAACATTTCAATCAATGAATTGGATATCTTTTTTAATATTTGCCACAGATTTTGAATAGTACGGTGAGGTCACCTGGTGTCACCTCTTAGTGCTGGAGAGTTTCTTCATCCGTCGATATCAAAATCGAAGTATCGATTGTCCATTGTTGGAGTACAAGTTTAAACAATCTCCGTACTTATATATTTTGAGAAATATTTGGTTGACTGCAGAAATAGTGATAAAACCAAACAGAAAGTAGCTTATAGAAAATGTTATGTGTAACTTCATAGGACTTGAACCAATATTCAGGCATGACGAGGATTGGAAACAGCTTAAATACATGCTGACATATAGTATGCTCATTGATTAATCAAAAAGAAAGAAATGGGAACAACATCATGTGGTGAACAGTAACTGATTGACGTTTATAAAAAGAATATTTTGGAAGTGTTTGTTTCTGATAATCTCCTGCAGAAATTAATTCAGATGACTTTCGACCACATTGTAATAGTGTGAATTCAAGCATGGCTGAAATATAAATACAAACACTTGAAATATTGTCAAAATCAACAGGTTTATGTCAAATTCGAAAAACATAAGCCAACAGGACAAATCATATTTCAACCCAAATATTGCATGAGAGTAAGAATCATCATAACACGAAAAGGAACCATATGATAAAACTACGAGTGAATATACCTAAATTTCCTATATCTCTAAAGAACAATATACTAGATAGCTTTACAAATATCTCAATTCAATTCAGTGTTAAGACAGTATAGAGAAGTTTGAATGGATAAACGTTTTAATCGTACACAACAACCAAGCTATAATCTATGTATCAAGAAACTCGGACACATTTGACTTAATTCAGAAGGTGATTAAGTAAGGTCACTTGTGGAACTATGATGGAAATGATACTGAACTTTGAATGCTACAAACTTAATCTTCATAAGAGTCGACATCAGGTTGTTAGTAATAGGCTAAGCTTAATATTAGCTGCATAACAAGTAACATACCAGCCCAACATAACAGCTCGACCTAATGAATTGTTAATCGGGAAATAAGAGGATAGATTCGAGTTTTAGGTAAGATATCAGTAGTTAACGGAATGCAGTAGATCCAACTAAGGAGTTCTATTTACGACAAAACACGTCCCATATATTCGAAAAAAAATATTTTACTCCAAAGCAAATCGTTTGTTTCTCTACATAGAAGTAGTTGTTTACTGATTTGTCAATAATGTTTATTTATATGCCAAGGAAGTGTGAAAATTAAGCCCATTGACTGAAAATTTGTACTTACAATAGGATGTGTGAACGATGATAACTTATTACTTTCAAAACAAGACTTCAATATACTGAAATTCAATTGGACTAAAAGACCACATTATGAAAACCACGAAGTTTGGTCAAGACGACAATCGCAGTACGAAAATCATTAACGAATATCCATCATCGATCGTATCATAACTAGTTACAACGGAAAAGAAACAGGTGAGACTATAATTTATGGACGACCATTGCGCGACGCTAAAGTAACCTTGAGAGTGTTCACCTTATAACTAGGACCAAATGGATGAGTAAATTCCGCGCCGAAACCTGTTATCTTATACCTGATTGGTTCGTCCATAAATTATAGTCTCGCCAAGCAACATTATAAACTATTTACTACATTTTGTTGACAGTAAACTTTAGCTAAATAAAAGATATACGAGATACAGTGATATTTAGTTGGAATTTATGTTGATAAGAAAAATCAATCAAAAATAGATAATTTGTAAAGTAACATCTCGGCTTTTCCTTTATTTCAGAAATAAGTTTTACTAAGAAATACCGGTCACAGGTAAGAACTTCATTATTCGTGTAAAATCATTGTAATTTTCTTTATTTTATATTTTAAATTATTTCTGTGACCCATTTGCTGATAGACTAAAACTGATCTAAGTCATTTAAGCAATTCCTCAAGGTCGTCGCTATGTTTAAATCTTACCGAAATTGTTATTATTTATTTGTTCAGGACCACAACAGAAACACAAAAAAAACTGAATGACTCCATTACAACACAAATATTTATTTATACACACGTATGTATATATAAATACACACTATACATTGATCAAAACACAATCATGTTTTTTGTATATACTAGCTATTCGATCTGATTGATTCCTTATAACAGTTGAACTTGTGATGACTTGAGGATGTTATTTATTTTCCGAAGAAGAGGCTTACAACAAATTCAGATTCGGCAGGAATTCAGTTTTTCTCACTGCTATGTTACAAATATACTCCTATTTATATTATCAGATTCACACATAGTTAGATATTAATATTTATAGCACAGTTGGCCTTTCTTCGGTGTTCGGTATCACTACTTGAGATATTATTGTCACTCAACAAAACATTTATTCATAGTAATACACATAGCCTACGATTAACTTAAGATCATCCTCTTCTAAATCCTAATACCGGTATTAACTTATTTAGAAAGCAATCATGGGGACATATTTATGAACTTTCGGTGTATATTTAGTTGGGAGGTTATTCTATTATTTGCAGAAACGAGTTCAAGCACTAGTTTCATTTAGTAGTACATATAGTTATCAGTATACCATTGTAATGCGATACGATATTATCAAGACTTACAATGGAACAATTGATTAGTAGTTTTGTTAATCTAGAGCTTTTGTTGAAACTTACCGAAACATTACATGTTTTGTTTAATTACCAAACTATGAACCGAAGCTTCTAAATTTATACATCGGTTGACTAAATAACATTGATTGTAAATCAAATTTGACACTACTGGTGAAGACACATTGAAAATGTTGGACTTAATCACTGTGTTATATAGAAATGATATTTTTAAAATTTATCTGTGACCTGACATGATTCATTCAAACTATATTGAAGCTGACAATCCTCATTTTTTTAAATCTTATATTCATAATTTTTTCGTCTAAATTTTACATCGAAACTAGCTAGATCTAGACAAAAAATAAACTGAGTAATTTATATTTTGTAAAAGATCAGGTTACATTTAGCCAATGATTAGGCCTGTACTGAAGCATCGTTTGCATAACAAACATTGTTATTAGTGCCCATTCGTTATCTGATAGATTTTCAGATGGAAAATCTAATAAATTAGTAGTGAGTTAAGTTAGGAGAGAAAACAATGTTTTAATTTATTTTCGTTTCATTAAAAGCGCTAAACAAATAATGTATCAACTTCACTTGTCCTCTTGTAACGGAGATAAAAAGCGCCGAAACTGTGCGTGATTTTTACAATGCAAGAGATAGAAAAAAAGGCGGAAATCAAATGAAAAGTGAATAATGATAAATTGATTGTATGTAATGAGAAAACTAATAGAAAGTCTATTAATTTATAAAGACTGTAGTCAGGAGACTGATCATAAATACATTTTCGTATATGTAAATACCTATTTATCAATTAAATAATTTCAAGCTAACCAACATGGGCATTTCAATTTACTTTTTATTTATTTATTTTAGACGACGTTTAGCTTGTCTGCTAATGTGCGTCAGAAACTTTTAACCGAATATATTACCACAGTTGTTGACAAACGCACGAAAATATTAATATCGGACTTCACTAAAAGTTTAAAAAACCACAGTAACACAGCATAAATTTACTAGAAACTTTTGTGTTAACCTTTACCCAATTTATAATACTTAAGTAAATTTTACTTTATCATTTCTACTTTGCTACATTCTATACAAGGTCACAAATATTTAACACTGAATTTCTTCGATCAAAGTTACTCCCAAGTAATAAGTTTTATCATGAGTTTGATATAAAACTGTTATGACTGACCGTTAATTGTTAAGTTTGGTCATTGCTAATTATTATGTCGGCATCTCTATGACTTATACTTGTAAAATGAGGAATCACTGCAGTTTTCCACCACACGAATTAAAAGTATCAATACTGGAACAAATCAAAATTTATTAACCTCAAAACATAACGAAAACCCTTTGTCGAAAATACACTCATTTATATATTGATTGTACACCCATCTTGATTATGAATTAGGATGAAATCACATATATGAAAAATACCCAGAGTTATAACAAATCACACTCTGTGCCTCGTTTACATTAATCTAATACAAGAATACAATATCTTGAATAAACATGACACTCAAATAAATTAATGTTATACCGAATAAAATACCACACCGTCAAATAAACATAAATATTACTCTGAATAATTAACGAATTGAATTAAAAAAACACGGAAGTGATGTTGACCGAAAATCACAATCAGCAAAACGATGTAGTTTTGCCTTTTTAATCCCGTCATATCAATAACGATAACTGAATATTTTGTTAATATTTATAGGATGTAGGTAACTGCTATCAAAATGGAGAATAATGCTTTATCAACCTGAAGCTAGTCGTTGTTGTCCAACTTGCGTCCAATGTGTTTCACTGATCCCAAGCACCTCTAAATTGTATCTCCTCATTTCTGCAGCAATTTGGAAAACTCTCCCAGTCTCCCACATTGTGCGAGCATTCCATGTACCTAAATAAATGGTTGCTCTGGTTGTCAGAAGGAGCATCGGCCTCGTGACTTCCGAAGAAACTCGGCTTTCCTCATGAGGCGTCATAATTCTTCTAAACGAAGACCTCCTGACTCCCAGGGCAGAGTTTAAATAGTTTGAATATTTTTTTCTGGTTAGCGTTTTTTTAGCGAGTTAGTTTTCTACGGGATGGGGTCGCTAACCCCATGCCCAATCCTCCTCTACCCGGGCTTG